TTCGAGATATGAATTTTCAATAGCAGATCGTGCACATGCGTTTTCGTACCGGTGTACGAGTACCTTTCATTTTTTTGCACGTGTGGCGATGCGGGCTCGTGAATTTTGTTACGCGAGGACCAAGACCCGTATACTCGTTCCACATTTGACGCAAATTTAACAATATAAATTCTTATTTCATATTTACATTTGAAGTGCAATATTGTTATTATAATGAAATAAATTTCGCCATTTGATGGCCATGATCAATACTAGGCATACGGGTAAGGAATTTTATATACGTACATACAATATATATATATATATATATATATGTAAATATAACTCGTACTTCTTTTTTCCTTAATACTCGAGTAGGATAGCTATTAACTTGTAAGCCAATTATAACTGTACATTTTATATTTTATATTTTAAAATATAAAATGTACAGTTATAATTGGCTAAAATCACTATTTTATATTTTAAATTGCAGTTTCCTCGATTTATGCGATAAAAAAGTAAAGTAAATTAGGATAAAATCTATAATGCGTAAATCTGTATGCGATTAAAAATCAAGAACATTTCTTTGCTATTATACTCCTGCGAATTCTCTTAGTATGTTTTCAAAAATTCTGAAAATTCGATTATCAGTATACTGTCATTTAATTACAAATATAATATACATATTATAAAAAACGATATGCATACATTTTAGATAAGATATAAAATATTTCTGTTTCAACAAAGTTTCCCCAACACTTATGAAAACTAGACAGTAATAAATTCCTCATCCATGTTATATATGTATAATGTCTAAAATATTCAACGATTACCGCTTATCATTATATTTTTTAGTACATACAATAAATCGTAGAGTCGTAAAGCACTGGTCTTCGGTTGTCATGTTAAGAACCATTTCTTGTGTATCATCCGATCTACAAAGTAAAAATAAAATAAAATAAATCTTCTTATATCTTAAAGTTGACTTAAGTATACAAAACAAGATTAAATTTATAATAAAATTAGACTATAAAACAAGATTAAATTTATAATAAATTAGTATACTACTATATAATTCTTCTAATGATTGACAAATATAATAAATAATAAATTTTAGATTCCATTATGAATGCTAAATGATGTCTACTGTACATGTATATATGATATGCTAAAGGAATCGCGCAAATAAGTTTTCAAACTGAAAAAGAATGTACAAAAATTAATTTATAAATTTTCTAAAAAAGGATCATTTAATGTCAAGAAACAACAAAGTATAATTTTACTCAACATTTATATCAGTATTTAACAAATCAATGTAATGTTTCCTAACATTTTCTGTTTATTTATCTCATTTTATTATTAATAATTTTTTGATAAATAAAATTCTATTTTTTTTTAATTTTGTTTTGTTAAGAAACAATGAGATCTCAAAATAGTTTCATCATCTTATAATCATTTGTTATTCTTTTCGTCTTTAGTCATTAAATATAAAAGTAATAAAAATGTTACTTTTACGAATGCTCATACCACCAGTCGACATAATCCATGTTTATCCGGTCGATGATTCTGCGGACATTCTTGCTTCGGTCTATCTGGTGCATTTATGAAATATGGATAAGTGGGAACAGAAGTTCTGTCTTGTTGCTTGGTCGATGTTGGTGGCAAATACTCATTTCCTTGGCAACTCGTTAGCGTCAAACTGATCGTTATCAATACGAGTAATACGAACATTCTTATGAAATATGCCATTTCTAATATTTAAATTCCAGTAAATATTATTCACACACATGAACTACCACACAGACTAGCAGGAAAGATTCGTTATCCTCGTAGTTAGAAATCGCGGGTACTACTGGCGTTGAAGTCTCAACAATTCACCGATTCTTATGTTCTGCCAAATTTCTCCGAGTATACCCGCTATTTATAATCATCACTATCGATTACGTAAACTACCTTTTGACTACTACTTCAAACAACTCGCTGACGTGTTTAAAATTTTGAAATACGTAGATAGAATGGTGATTAAGGAAAGGAAGAAGCTGTCCTTGAAGATTATACCATAAATATTCATTATGGATATTATCGCGTTGCTTCCTAGAAATGAAAATTAATTGCAAGATTTAAGGAAGTATAGAATAACGATCTTTTTTTTTACAACATAAAAATTAATCTTGATAGTATATATTATTACCTTCCTCGCTCGAAGTTTAAAAATAAACTATAATTTCTATCTCTGTATTGTGTGCGACGTATTTCGTTTTTCAATATAGAATTAAATATCTAATTGATTTAGGCATTATAATATCCTGCATCTATCTTTAATTGTTCTACTAAAAGATAATTAGAATTATCTTCATCCTTTTTAATAGAACAATTAAATGCTCATTAAGTTTATTCATTACTCATATCAATCCAATGTTAGTGCATTAACAAAAATCAGAGTATACCTACGTTATAATTAAGTTTATTAGATTATTCAATAAAAAGTCAGTTTGATAAGAAATATGCAATTATATACATAGATATTTTTTATTTATTTCATTTTTACAATATTGATGTTATTTATTTCACATTTTAATAGAAATAAACAAGTTTTTATAATTATATTAAGATAAGCAAAGAAGTACCGAAGTGAAACAGCTTGAGATTAATCATGCCTTTTTACCTACAAGTTTAAAATAAGTTTAAAATGTGTTGTACTGTAATTTAAATTAATCTTTATTATATTTTTTATAGAAATAAAATAATATAAATATATATACAGAATAATAACAACGAGAATAATTTAAAAAATTTGTCAAATAAGTACAATCTTAGCTTATATTTAAAGAAATAATGACGTAGTCGCCAAAATTGAATAGTTACAACAAAATTATGATAAAATTTTCTACATATTAATCTCTATATATCCTATAATATTGTTATACATTTCTATTAATAAAATAAAATAAAATTACCTTATTAATCGTTATACAATATAGCGATCCATTTTATCCTTCCTAGAATTTTTTTTATTTGAAAGACAAAAATGATCAAAAATCAGTTTTAATCTTAATATTTTTTTATTCTTACTCATAATTATTTCGGCGGGTATTTTCCATCCTTATCCTCTGTAGGTACTATTTGGACCATTCTTTCGGTAGGTGTGAGATGCTAGCAGGAAGATCCATGTATGTATACTTTCTAAACTTGTGAGGCTTGGTTGTGGAAGAATTTTTTGTTATTTCGTCACAAATTGTTGACGATAATACCGTAATGATTAATAACAGAGTCATAAATATCTTGAAATTTCTCATTTTTGGAACGCGGAAATTTTAGTCAGATCAGGAACAAAATTGATGCGATGTTTTTAGGAATGAATTCGTAGGAATCCTTAACGTTCAACGAATTCACGAAGATTAGTACACACATTCTACTTAGTGCCCCTTATGTATCAGCTATTTATAATTATGCCTTGACGATTACGTAAACTGTTTAACACAATTCATCAATATTTGTATTGCCAACCGCGCTCAAGGCCAGCCATCATAAAAGAGACATATAATTAACCAATTTCTACGAAGCTGCAAAAAGTTATAGTCTTTAATTTAAGAATATGATCAATATTACTATATATAATACAAAAAAAATCAATATTTTGCGAAATAACGAAATTATAGATATTAAGATAAATATGTAATAATCTCGTTGTATATGTCTTTCATTAAAATTTATTAAATTTAGTTTAGATTACTAAATTTAATAGTAAAAATATCTCGTACGCGCAAATTACTGGTACAATAAAAGATATCTCATTAAATATAATATCTCAAACTAAATTTGTATTAAATATTCGGACGTAGTAAATGAGATACACTATGGTTCAGAGAAACGAATATTTCGAAAATAAAGTTGTCAGCAATTTACAAAAATTAAATTGTTTTTTTTTAATATATTGACTGTCATGTTATACACGTCATTCATATATGTATTTCTTGTTTCCGAGAGTTATTTAAATATGATGACGCCCAATTTTCGTCAGAAAGAAGTTTCGTTGTTTAGTGATATTTTACAGAAAAGAAATTACAAAAGAAAATGTGTTTGAGTTCTTGGGATTTTTTCATGAAATTGATTGTCATTCATAAATGATGTAGCGGTTCATGTGTTAAATAAGTTTTTTGCAATATATGATTCAGCATAAAAATAATTATAAAAAATAAAGAATCCGATAACAAATCAATATATGCGAAAAAAAAATATAAAGATTTTCAGTAGAAAAGCAACTACAAATCCTGTATATTGAGAACAATGAGAACGCTTTGTGTAACACTGTTACTGATATTCGAGCAACAGTAACACTGGGCAGTAAACGAACGTCTTAACTAATGTAGAGGATGGCAGAGACAAAAAGCGTGATATCAGCATACGTGAATTTTGTAACAAATTGGTGGGTATCGTTGACCACTAGAGCCGCGCGAAACCGCCTCTCTTTATATTTATAATAGCAATCGTTTCATCATCCCGAACGCCTTTAGCAGGGCGGTTAACTGCTCCATACACGAAGCAATTAATTACGCGTAGTCTGCATTAATCTTTGCAAATTGGGACCGAAATCCTCGGAGTACGCCCTACAATTTATAGTACTCCCTGCTCATCTGATCGCGCAATAAAACTATAAAACCAAACCGTCCTATAAAACAAACGCCGATTTCTCTTTTCAACTCGGTTGGATAGTCGAATGATAAAAGACAAGGCCTTTTGTTATGAAATCATTATGTATACATGGTGTTTCGTAATAATTCTTTAACTGATATATAAATCAATATGATTCGCGATAAAAATTGCGATTTCCTTTTATGCATTTTTACGACGCACAACTACTAAAATAAATAAACATATAATAAATTTTTACTTTTTTAAAATATAAAACTAAAATATAATTTACTCTCACATTAATTGTTGAGAGTATTTAATACTTTAGATCACAATCGAATAATGTAATCATAAAATTGTACGACAAATACTTTAATTGCATTTCTTATTTATTCAATCTTGTCGAGGATCAATTTTTGCGCCTCATAAATTCTTCGGCAAGACACCGTCATTAATTCTTGCTCCTTAGATGTATACAACAAACGAATAAAGGACTGTACGCCGTTTCTTCCTACTATACACGGTAATGACATAAAAATATCCTTTTCCAGTCCGTGTCGGCAACCCTAAAATATATTTGACATTTTTAGCCAAGTTTTGACAGTTATTTTTATGTTTTTATCACTCGAATATTTCTATCTTTATATTTGTCGTTATCTTTTATTACGCGATAATGAATTAATATTGCAATTATACAATGCGAGATAAAAGTAATTAAAAAATAGTTCTCAAAGCATTCTCAAAGCATGCGAGCAGTATCATCAAACAGAAGCTTAATAGCTCCAATAAAACTTATCGATAAACCTTCACGAACGTAGAGACAGTAAAACAGGCGCAAGTATTGCGCACGATAGCATCAACAATTTCGCCTGCACAGATTCCGACTGCCCAGCTGTGATAGCCTTTCTTGACGATCAAGTCATTGTCGCTATCGACAACTTTCGTGTGTAAATCACCCCAGGATTCTGGATCCGTTTTTGTGCCAATCTCTTTGTTTATATCTTTTAAAGGCATACCCATTACCGCAACAGTGGACCAGACCGGGACTAACATTTATTAAAATAAGGAATATAATGAAAATGTTGAAACAGAAATCGACCAGATTAAATAAAAACGTACGGAAATGTTTATCATAATTTTTAATATTATAACGCTAATTATACCAGAAGCCGGTCCGCTCTCGCCAATGATTAACGCTTGAATCGCGCTTGCTGAAATTCCGAGTTTCTGAGCGATAAAATACTGAAATCTACAGCTGTCTAGAAATGTTCCTAGTCCTATAACACGATTCGGTGGAAACCCAGACAGCTTCATAGCGACGTACGACAGAATGTCGACTAAATAAAGGGATTGACATAATGATTCAAGAGTATCATACTGTACTCTCTTGTTCGATTAAAATTGATCTATCACGAGTTATAATGCGTTTGAACGTGACAGAATATCTTATAGAGAGACGATTGACACATTATCAAATGCCAATGTATAAAATGCCTATCAGATAACGTATATGTGCAATTTCTAGTGTGGCAAACACATTAAATATGACAATAAGACGTATACCTGGCTTCGAAAGAATGAGAAGCACGCTGTTCGGCGCGTACTTGGAGACGTTCGGAATGACGTCCTTAAAAATTTTCAGATTATGCTCTAGATAATCGGCCGGCTGCTGATCTTCACGAGACTGGCTTCCAACTGTGATCACGCATACCGCTGCGTCTCTGGCATAAGCATAATCTATCGGAGCGTAATACACGCTGGATGATTTATCGTTTATCACAGAATTTTATTTGTTTTCACGTGCGTTTGCACGTGGGATATTTTTGTAAAAAAAAAAAAAAAAAAAATTATGGAAAAGACAGAGAACCTATTATCTCTACTTTCAAAGATCGCGTAAGAAATTAAAATACCTCTGAGCTCTTGCTTTATTAGTGTTATTATCAATTTTAAATTATTACTAATTAATTTCTAGATATGCGTGTCGCTTGTACGTCGTTTATCGCATGAAATTCAATCACCGCGTGGTTTATCGTAATTTTATTAACATCCCGAGATGTCTCAATGCAAGCAATAACGCGCACGAACGTCACCTCTGGCGACCTTATCGCTAATCGCGACCGCGCGATTTACTTATCCGAACGTTAAAGCGCGGTTGTTCTGAGATAATTGCTCGTTACTCGCGGACAGTGTAATGACGGTCTCGCTATTTTTCTGCAGCCTCCTCCCCATCAGGTTTCACCTTTGGTACCGACAATCCGGGGATTGCCGAGGTACGCCGCCGCATGGCTGATGTCTTCTGCTTCCGCCTTAGCGAGATCCTCGTTCACGTCTATGAGGACGAGCTCGGAGGCGAGGCGCTGCAAAAGAATCACAGGGGGATGAACGGTGTATAACAGGGTAGGCAGAGAGAAGCTAGAGAGTAATTAACGGCAACTGGTCGCTGCCCGGCGGGCAGTGTTATTACGCGCTTCGAATCGTTATGCAATGGGAGCATCAGGCCCTCCCCCCCGAGAATCGCATTAAGATACGAGCGAGTGCGCGCGATCAATCGCGCCATTTGCAAAGTCCCCTAATGCGTGGAATCGTTAAGATCCGATCAAGGAGCAGCGCATCGAGAAAGCGCGTTATTTTCGGGAGGATCCACAATGTCGCGGCTTCGCTTCATCGTGGTCGTCGTCGGCGTTGTTGCCGCCGCTGCCGCTGCCGCCCGGTACCCGGTGACACAAACGACGTCTTACCCAGAGCGATAACTCATTCATGAATAATTATAGGACCGGTACGGCTTCTTCTCGCCGGTTCCTCTTCCCGGGGACTACCTTCCGTCCTACCGTCGCGGCAGCCGCTACAAGATTTTCGACCGTAGCGACTGCGTTCCTCATGAAATGTCAAACGAGCATGAAGAATGCTTCAGCGACCCCCTGTCCGCACGTGTTTCATTTTTCTCCCGCAATCATGGTTTCTTCGTAAACGTTGTCTATTTGTTTCCCCATGAATTTTTTAGTTTCATTAAGGTATCTTACACGTATATACCCAGGGATACCCATGGATATCGTAAATGTAACGTTATACGAGTCCGTGAAGTGTGGCAAATGGCGCGGCAAACGAGCGGTGTAAGGGACCGCTGGTAATCTATATTCGTTTTTGAACGACGGATCATTAAGCTTCGAGCGGTTCTAATTTGTGCGGGCTAATTTGTGGTATATAATGAGATATTCAGACGATCATGTAAATCACCCCGTAAAAGTTAATGGGCATTATTCTCCTAGGGCAGTATCGTATATGGACAAACGCGTTTTTGTGATAATGGCCTATGGACGGTGCGTTAAATGTACACTTTACCAAGACGCTTACACCCGAACAGACGGACGTATTTTCCTCGGGCAGATGGTGCTTTCACACCTCACATTAAGACAAACGCCGGGCTAACTAGAAAACGGCTTCTTAATATATTATGTTGCGCTCTCACGCTTCCGATCTGTTATTGTACACCACTTAATTACCATACTTCATCAAGCGTGACTTCCGAAAGGTGTGGAGTATCGTAAGGTGCTAAACTTCTGAATAGATCTATCACTCTTTCATTATCTCGTAATAACCGTAAGTCTGTAAGTCTTTCGCAATATTAGGCATAACTCTAACTAACATTTCATCATAGATGATTAATACGTAGTCACTCTTTTCTTGTAAATGATTCATGCGTAATTTTCTTCGTTCTATGTTTAATTATACATAAATATTTGGCCAACTATATGTCTTGTCGTTTCCTCTTCTTTTCCTTTTCTGTATCTTTTGTTTAAATAAATATTTGATAATTCTAATTAAATTCTTATCTGCCATACTGATCCATATTTAAATAATTGTATATGTTAAAACAGTAGCCATTGTGAGCAAGAAATATTATTAAAACTATATTTTATTATCTATGGTAAAATATGATGTGCAAGCAATAACCATTTTTCAATAGTTTCGAAATATTTATAGGACTCATCGTGATAACACGCGATACATGCTTGGAGGATGGCTTTAATTTTCTTATTATTTTTATTGGATAACTTAAATACACTCACAATCAGCCATTATCTAAAAATCTCTCCATAAGAAGACACAATTACTTAAATATTAATATCGATACAAATATGGCCCAGGATATGAATGACGTATTTTTTGCCGAAAGTTCTGTAATGTATAATTTGCGCAGCTTACCTAAATACAGAATATGCAATAAGATGTGTCGCAATGGGATAAGAGGGAACAAGACGAAACAGATGCCAGGCACGTATAGTTGTGAAGAATTTGAGTACGGTAGATTCGCAAGGTGGACGATAAGCCATAGCGGTCGTATTTTTGTACCTCGCGATGATCTCGTTGATGCGATCAGCCATGCTACGCTGTGAGGTGCAGCAGCACGACTCGGTCATATTTTTCGCTTCTTATTTTTTCCTTTTCATGCCTTTCTTCCCGTTTTTTCCCGCAGCATCTTCGGTCGCTGAACATTCCGGTAATCAGGAGATCTTCATGATCACGTCGGATAAGCGCCACCGAAATTTCATGCTTCGTAGGTAATTTAAATACTCAATATTGGCTAGAGAAGTACATGTTTCTAATTTTTATAAAGACTAAGGAAGTGATTTATCACTGTCAAGAAAGCCAACAACAAAACGATTTTAAGGAAATCCACGGCATTAATTTGATGGGCAATTTTCGTCAAAAGCTGTTATCGTATGCGGTAACGGGTTCCCTAATATCCTAGTTATTCTCTCGTACCATTCTGACCTCCTCGATAATATACACGATAAACTCCACTGTATATTATTTAGTCTCTCTCGATATATGCACCACACAAGACCGTCCAACGAGAAGTCTATCGTCCGTCAGTTACGCCCTCCGCGTCCCACCGCGTGCACACACCATTGTTTGCCCTCGTAAATTTGCGGAAACCGTAACCTAGAATTAGTCGCCCACATTTATTACCCTTCTACCGGAATGTACTCAACATATGGATGTAATACTGTTGCACCTTGTAACGTCGCAAGCCACAATGTGTTCCGTATAAACTGTTAATTTTCTTCCTTGTGATGCAACAGATACGAAATTATGCTTAAACAATACAATGATAATGTACGGTTTCATTTAGAACGTTACAAACAGTTTCATATTTCTCGTATTTCCCATTATTACATAATTCGAGGCATGTCGAGACAAAAAAAAATAAGTTTGCAAGTGTACACAACTGTCCCATGAAATTTCTAAAAAGCTTCTAAGAATGTCTTTTGTGTAAAATATTGAATCGATTACTATTGTGTAATAATAATTACTATATGCATTTCCAGAGGATTTCAAGTGAACCGTGTTGTAAATTGCAGTCTCTCTCCATAGTTACTAACATAAATCAGTCAGTTAGAGCCGTCCTGCGGGGGCGCATTGGCCGACGTGTAAATGCTCGCGTTACGATCCGATAACGAGCGAGAGGATCGGCCCACTTCTGCATCTTCTATCATCTTCTTCCTGCTATCTCCCTTTCTCTTCCACGTTCCGTTCCGCTCCTTCCTACAGCCGAATTCCCTCCTCTAGTCTTCCGTGGATCATTTGCATAATAGCTTTTTTTGAGCCGGCACCACACATACACGCTAACGAGCCTACATTCAGGACTCGTTCCTGTAAACTTGCACGTATATACTCGTGCATAAACCTACACACGTCGTTAGGGCATTCCTTGGCACCGTCGTCCTTTGTTGGGTACAACTCGAGGGTATCTCCCGAGGTTCGCCAACGGTGGAGCATTATATCTTTGATCCTCGACGAACAAATACGAATTACGTGCTCGAGCTAGATGGATACCGGCGCTATGTCTCATTCAGTTCACCCAGTATCATTGTGGACACGTTTAGATTGACGTATCGAGCACATTATATCATCTGATGGAATAAGGCACGGGGATCGATTACGCACGTGTGCATTAATCAATGTTGATACACCTTTTCCGGAGTATATAAAAATGTGTATCAATGAAGTATATTAGTATTGACGTTGACTCACATGCTTCAGAATTTTTACAAAGTCAACAGTAATTTACGAGATGTGCCGCTAATATTAAAATGTTACACTGTTAAAAGAAAATAAACAATAAATTTGAAGAGTGTGTATTTAAAGTTATTGCGCTGAATGCAAATTAATTTATGAATAAATTTTTATACTTGAGAAATATTTATCATAAAGGTTATAAAAAGTATAACAAGTTTTTGTTCATTATCTATGCGTGTACCATTATACAGCTGACAAAAAATATATGTGCTGTTATATTTTATGCGATAATAAAACAATGCAATGTTATCAAAATACATCACATTCGTGTATACAAAATTAATTGAAAAATTGAAATGGCATGAAAGGTTAGAAACTAAAAGGAAATAAAAAATCCGCTAACTTTGAATAGAATTGCTATAGCAACTGCGACACCCCTGGGCGCACTGCCGACGACGACGACCTTGACACGATGGCTATCCACAAGATGTTCTGCCTGTTTGGCCAATAAAATAGTTACTGTGTTGCCGGCGATCTCGGGTAGTTTCCTTCTTGTCTCGGTCATATCCGATACGCCGATGCTTTTCTACACTTCGAAATGTAACACTAAATAATTTAGACGAACCAAAAATCGCTTGACATTGTGAATATCTCTAATTGAGACCACGAAATTTGACGCTCCGTATTAAAATTTACATAAGATAGGATGCGTCTGGAAAAGCAGACAGTTGAAAAAAATTTTTTTTGACAGGAGCTCAATGAAATTGACAACGGATACGTAACAAGTAGATTTTACTGTCAATTTGGAATGGCTACGTAAAATGGGATATGCAATAAGGGTCGATTCAGACACAGCCGTGCCGTATCCGTACCGTGCACGAAACAGAAACATCAGACAAGGATGGAGACAACATTAGACAAGGATGGAGACAATAAGTATCCTTGTCTGATGTTCTGTTTCGTGCACGGTACGGATACGTCACGGCTGTGTCTGAATCGACCCTAAGATGATGGTTGTATCGGTTCTGTATGATCGAACGTGAGAGAACTCTCTTTGCCTCTCGTGTCCGACGTATCTCGTACGCTCATAATGTACTATATGTACGAGATGTGAACTTCAAGTTATCTTGTAGCACGAGATATACAATCCGATTAACACATTCGATCACGGACGAAAAGATGCTATCGATAAATTCAATCGCGCCGTACAGGATCAATTATAGTCGGAAAGAATGCTCGTTATACAAAAAGGTAAATGCTCGAGGCAGATGTAGAGACGAATCGCCAATTGGACGCATCGTTCCTATGGTTTTCGTTTTTCTAAGGATTGAAGGACGTAAAATTGATCGACAGCTGCTGCGAAGCCGCACAGGTGGGATGCGCCGCGTTCCTGGAGAGATACTGCCAATTTTATAGGATATTTGAGAAGGGATCGAGAAGAGATTCTTAGGAATCGTCTGTTCTATTCCATCCTTATAAACTTTACTCTCTAATTTAGTTCATTATTTTTTTTTTTATTATAAAGACGTATAAACTTGCTTTATTTCAATAATTATTCAATTTCCGCTATTAAAAAAAAAATATATATATGTATAAAACACAACGACTTCACTATACAACAAGATTTAAAGCTAATGTAAAAACAAAGGTTGTAGTTTAAATTATCCAATCTTCTTTAGCCGCAGCTCTCAACCGTATACTCGCCTCGCACGCAATGGAGAGTGCATTTTCATCCGCCCTTTCACCTTTCCACCGTACATCGTTCGACTGCGTAAATCAAAATTCGATCGAGCAAAAAAGAAACGGTAATAAGCTCCGCACGCGTGGAACATTGTAGCGCGAGTTGCATGTACCGTTCGCAAGCAATCTTAGAAGAACGCGCGGCTGGTTTAATTTTCCAGGAAGTTAAGTTTCACTCATATATCGTTTATTACGGCGATCGAATGTACGCACGCGGAAACCGGTTGCCAGGTGCAAGGCATCGCCTTTATTGATGAAGATGCATTCTAGGATGTCGCTCCTTCTCCCCGTTTCTCTCTCCCCCCCCCTTTCCTCTTCCTCGCTATTTCCGCGCCGCGTATCCATTCGCATCCGTTCGCGAGGTCCTTTACGTTTCTCGCTCTCCTCTCTTCCTCAGCCGGTCGTCACTCTTCAATGTCGCTCGACTCGCGAAGAATGCCGCACTCACGCAGCACACCGCGGATGCTGTCGGCGCACCGTTGTACCGCTGTCTTTTCCTGATCGTTCAGCTTCTGCCGCACCGTGGCGTATACACCTTCCCGACCGAGGACACAGGGTACCGACATATACACATCTTTATCGGTCCCGTGGGCGCAACTCTGCGAACAGAAATTCCTCGACCTTGTTTTCCCCGTCGCGTCAATCGAATAAACGCGTCTCAGAACTTTTGTTCAACGTGCGAAAGCACAGATTGTTTGTCAGCAAAGAGTCAATATAATTGTAAAGTCGATAAAAAAACAAAAACGCGGATTAAAAATTTATCATTATCTTACATATTATATGCAACTTCCAACTTTCTTTCATATTTGATTCATAATTAATTATTCTGTAATCTATGTATGTTGCAACCAGAAAAACTAATAGTAAATTTTTATGAAACTCGAATCTGTCTTCAGAATTAAATTAATACATTTCTTTGATTTTGGAGTAACGGTAAATTATTAAAATCTGTTCAATAATCTAAATCTACTCAATAACTTTATAAAACGTTAACTTGATTATATCTCTCACGTGTATGTACGTCGACACTGGCAATATAGCTTTGGTATTCCTGACGATGGCATCGACGATCTCAGCAGTGCAGATCCCGAGAGCCCAGCAGCTCGGCCCTCTCTCGCCCTTCTTCCGATTAAGCTCCGTGTCGCTGTAAACACAACGCGAAGATTTTATTACTTCCTTAAATTCTCTCGAGAATGCCCCGTGATCTTAACCACTGACGTTTTATTTACAGCTTCGGAAATGTCACGCCACTTCTCGGGATCATCCGCCTCACCCATTCGTGGGTTTATGTCGCGTATCTTCGTACCCGCGACGTGAACGCTCGACCATACAGAAACTATACAAAGCGGCAGATGTTGGAAGGAAAGAGAGACCGTAAACTGTTAAGTCGTTTACAATATAACCGAAGTATGTGTGATACTTTTCATCGCGAATGGTATTTGCATATATGTATAAAAATGTATTGTGTATTTACGTTTAAAAATACCCTAATAGAGTACTGTAAAGATTGGTGGTAAAATCTTGCTAAATATCATTGCATCAATAAAGAAAAAGAAGCTTTTAATAATTAGTAAAATTAGTCAGGCTGTCAATCGAGTACCAGATGTGTCGCCCTGCGCGCCGATACTCATGCAGCTGATCGACGTGCGCGCCAGTCCCAACTTCCGACTCAGTAAATCCTGAAACCTGCAGCTATCGAGCAGAGTCCCCGTGCCAAGCACTCTGCTGGAGGGAAACTTGGACAACTTCCAGGTGATGTACGACATCACGTCGATCGGTTGAGTTACAACTAGTAACACTGCCTTACAGGCCAACTTTGCGATTGTTGGAACGATCTTCTTAAACACCTCGATGTTGTGCTTCACGTTCAATTCCTCCTCGGCTTTCTTTTCACAAACCGCGATTACCACTACTGTCGAGTCTTTCACCTTATAGACATCTAAAACGCAATCAATTGCAGATCGTAGATTATCGTGAAATGATGGTTTCTAGATATAGATATATTTTAATATACATAGTTTTTATTTATACAAGTTATATAATATTTTATATAAGATAAAGTTTTAGGCACATTTTTCTGAGAGAGTTAAGATTATAGGTATATAAATCGTTCCGAATCTATTCCGAATCCGGAGAAGACACTTGAATATTCACGCGAAAGGAGTCGTAACGGGAAATAGCTTCGTTTTAAGAATCAGATATGGCTTTCCGGAGAACCTCTTGCCAGGGAGAACGTCTTACTCAACCGGGTAATCATCAGCTCCTCGGAAGTGCGTGGAATACAAAACGACGAGAACGGATAAGAAATTTTCCCCCTTTCGAGAGAAAATCACCATCGGAAGAGATGTGCCGATAACGACGGCAGAGGGAAGACAATCCCGACGTGGTCGGAAAAATAAAGAGTTACAGATCCGAGGCAACACCTTCAACAAAATGCTTGTAGTAACACGCGGCAGTACCGCAACTATACGGAAGATACATTTACGACGGAGAGAGATGTTGTTACAGATAACTTGGCAAGCCCGTAAAAAAGTCGTCCCACTTGTTCCAGTAATTGCTACCTCGCACGAGACAAGATCGGAAAGAATCACACATTCCGCTATCCTATATAGGTAATACAGACGCTACGCATCGCACGCAACGCGCTCCGAGAAAAGTCGAACAAACCGAAATCATTCCTGAGATCAAACGCTAGAGCAACTCGATGAAACTATCCACGAGATCAAGCCTAATCGTGCACACTTTCCATTACTGTCCTCCTGGATTCCCACGAAGGATACGGCGCTTTTACAACCGGCCGCCCCGGTCGGACGGGGTAACCGCGCGTCGTACGCACGCTGGAAACAGAAACAGAAAACCGCGTCGTGGAGTCGATCACGGCCGAGATAAATAAGAGTGGACGGGATTTACGAGAGTGTCCGTGAAAAGCTCGGGGGAAACATTCGCCCGGTTCACGAGGCGTATAAGCGCCCGACGATTTAGATGAGAATCGAGATTATAAAGGACAGGTCCGAGGGAATTCTGGCCCCCGAAACTCTCGCCGCTAACTCAGAAACCCACCTATGTGAAAGCGTTGTTTCTGAATCGCTGCACGTTGACAGGGGGACCCTTGACGGATCCCTAACAGGAACCTAACGGATCGTCGATTTAAAGTGAGTGTTGATCGGAGCCGACGATCGTGACACGCCGGTGACGCTCGGCAGACTCATCAGTTCGAACGTATCAATCTGAAATTTCTGGAATTCGTGCTGTTGTGAGCTGTCTCGCACCTAATGCGCGGAAGGCCTACATCGTCCATAGACGTTCACGATTCGTTGGTTCCGTGATTGTGAATAGAGCACGACGACGGGGGATCGTCTGAAGTGTTAACCGCCGTGACAACTCTAACACTGGCTTTATCTGACACGGATAATGTGACGAGGCATTTATTCTAAGAATGATGATCAGGAAGCAACGGGGAAAAGTATAGTTGACGGATAAGTGTATTGTGTAATTGTTATAATTTATATTTACCGCTATATATATATTATATCTAAACATGTATCTTCAGCAGGAAAAGTACCTGATGTGCCAATCACCAGCGGGCATCCCAAAAAGATACCAGCGTGTTGAATGTCCTCGGCTTCTGCAGAAGCCTTGTCCAAGTTTTGATCGATCAGACAGACCTCACTTGCTATCCGCTGAAGATTACGCGAAATAAATTTTCTATTAATAAAAGTTTATGAACTATATATTTCTCTATACATAGATATATGGATACTCACTCTCATTAGAATTGCGATAGCGCAAGCCATTCCAACTTTTCTTGTACCCACGATCGAAACTTTGACAGGGTGTGGATAAGCCTCGCACGGTCCCACCTGCGTCGTTATTAAAGCGTTCTTCGTAGTTGTCGTAATCGGAGTTTTATCGATCTATTAAAGACACGTTATCCTATATCGTACTATGCCTATTTGCTAGGAACTTATACTTTATATTAATAAATCTCTCTCTCTCTCTCTTTGAAATTTAAATTCATTCATTCGACGGGATACGAAACAGCATTATCTCCGACGTCGTCGCATTGGGTTTCGTCTGGCACTTTGCTGTCGGCGTTGCTGTCCCCTAGGGTATCGTCCCTTTTAGATATGTCAGATTCCTCGTCAGCCATGCTCCAGTCGTTGCTGTTAGCTCACCGAGCAACTGCATGAGCGGTACATTTAATGAGAACACGATCCTACCCGTCTGTGTGCTTTAGTAACCATGTATGTATTCGCACCCTGCTCGTTCGAGAAGTATTAACGCTTTAGGTGTATCAGTGTCGTTTCATCATCCTCATTACCTCAATCGCGTGACTTCCTTCTCCCTATGTTATTAACTCCAGACGCTCGTCGCGGTGGTCACTACTTCTCATGAAGGGGCTTATAAACGAACGGCGGCCGAATCGCTGCTTACGTTTATGCAGATCCGGATCGTCCTACGCAGAAACGAGGCATCGGTTTTTGAGGTGAATCGGGTATATTCCGCCGTTATGAGGGAAGAGAGAACGCCCGCGAAGAAGAGGTAACCGCGCGAGAGAAGAACTCTGACTGGAAGAATAACGGCGGAACTTATCCGCGCGCTTTGCTGTAAATTAGCCGCAGGTAATCGTCGTAGAAACGCAAGTAACCCCCCGTGCCTCTCATCACTCCTATGTTCCACCGGTACGCTCGCGCAGCATGGCTGTGTGTGTGTGTACGTGCGTAAATACTCGGCTGTGCCGAGACCTATTAGTTGATCACAGCGAACAAATATGTTTTTAATGACTGTTCCGAATGAAATAATTAACCTCGTGGCACATACTAAGTCATACGTGACTTTCTCAATCGTTTCCGCGCGAATAGTTTCTATTAAAATCCCGAGAATAAGTTTTTCCTTAAAATAAAATACCACCGCCGATGAAGACAAATCTTTAACAGCTAATAATGATACACTTAAATATTAAAGGATGAAATCTAAACCAATACCTTGAGTTCAATAACATTTTGTTATTTTTAACTGTCATGTTTATCGAAATTTATTATTTTAACACAAAACAGTATTATTTTAACTCCATTGTTTTAGTTAAATTAATGACATATTAAGTAGAACTTATAAGAATAATAAAAAATGACTCAAATTGAGTATAATTTGACACTACTAATTTGACAGTGTACAAAAGCTCTGTGCAGTGTATTTTCATTTGCCTAATACGCCTTTCTATACAGTTATACGTGAAAATAGTCGCATAATTTTATTTATCTATTCATCTTTAATTCGCATCAGCGTTTAATAACTTTGCAATTATGCCTCGATGGAAATTTATTATGTAACGAAGAAATTCAAAATGTCTGGTGGCAAATTCTCGTCCAAGTTTCGAAAGAAAAAAATCGTCTAATATATCATATATGTATGTTTGAATGAACGGACGGGAGATTATTAACATCACCTTGTTATATTATCTTCGAGACGAGCCTAAAGACTGCAGGTAAACCGTAGCAAAAAAAAAAAAAAAGGAAAAGAAACATGTGATGCCATATATTCTTCCGAATGTACGCGTTGAAAGTAACTCTTTGCGCCTGCGATATAATGCTCGAGCGACAATCTTAACCATCCGAAAAGGGACCAGTTAAAAAAGTAAAACTTTTCCATTTACTTTGGTGCCCGCAGATAAATCATGCCCGTTGCATTTAGGAGTAGCGAGCGAGGCGTTCCCGGTAGTTTGGGCATCGCGAAGTTTTAACACACATTCGAAGATGGATCTGCCTCTCGGGAGAGAGAGGTCTCGTTTTTCGCGCGTGGTCCATACGACTGGTCTCCGATCCGCGCTCACGGACACATTCAATTTTAGCGTTAATAATCACCGGGAAAAATGACGACCTTAAACGTGGCCATTCATCAGGGCCGATCGATACTGCGAATGCGCCTTAACGACGGAGAGATACCATCGACCGTCCCGCTATACAGAGTTATTGAATCGCGTCAAATAATATACGAGCCAATAATGTATGAATAGTCCTGCAATTATGGTCCGCCGATCGTATCTAAGGGCGCGTTGTAATTTAGTAATCGTTCATTCTCACCGCGCTGGGATGGAGAATCCGACGAATACCGGTGGATAATATCGATCGGCTGCGGTAATACGCGATTTCTTTTTACACGATGTATCCGAAGTTTAGGGAGCACAATTGCTATAATTCGCACAATCTCCATGTCGATAAAGCAATACCCGCTCTGTACGATTACTCGCGCTACCTCATCTGATTCTCTCGCAGCGGTTATCTCGCTAGGTTGCCGCCGGTTTGTAATAGGATAATATGTTTTCTCTATCTTTTTAAATGACCCCGTGACACTTGTAACCATTCATAATGCCAGTTAAAATCGGTATCTACCAATTAAACGATTTCCTAATAACATCCACGCCGGATCGGGAAGATGGTAGGATCGGAGGTGAGGAAGTAATTTCCAATCTGACATTTATAGTTAAGCGTCGTGAGTGGGAACGAAGCGCCCTGCTTCCCGATAATTAATTCTCTACCTTAATTAATCATGCGAATTTTATCGAACGTCGAGGAAGAGAAACGCGATACGAATCAATATAGCCACCGTCGCAGGGATTTTTCTATGTCTATGATAAAATCTGCCGACCGGCGCCATATATCTCGCTGATTCTCGCGTCTTAAATCGTTATGTAATTCTGCGATACCCAAACGTATACGGTTGCAAAAGGGGCCTTCGCACGAGGACACGAATCGACCGCGATAAAGGCGTGATTCGACGATAACGATGTCTCGCGAGGCAAGATTTAGTCGAGTGGACGGTGCAAACGAGCCTCCCCGCTTACCGCGGAGATAATCCTTGAAGGTTGGTCGTAAGCAACCGATCTTCTGGTACCCAGACCCAGTCAACCGATCCGGACACCGGCTTGCGCATGCCTTCGGTGCACAATGGTAGTATTGCAGCTGATACAAGTATGTTCGCCGTGCAACCGGAATTTTAATTGGCTATTTGTTTGTCCGCTACACTTCGCGGAGCTGCTATTGTCCGCCCTGCCGCAGGAGAACGACCATCACCCCTCTCTCTCTCCTCTCCCTTTCCTTGCCTCGTCCCTTCTTTCACACCCTTCCCATTGCTCGCGGTCGCTTCATCGCCCGGTATTAATCTACTTTTAAGAAAGGAAGCGTTCCACGCACATACCCACCACACGCCACCGCGAGAGCGCTCTTTTAACGTGTTAGAATTGTTTGATTTAATCCCTGAAATTGGGAATCTTTTCTCGGTGCATCAAAGTCATACAAAGAAAAAGGTTGAAAATTAATTAAATTTTTCAGATCCAGCGCATTATCTTTTTTTTTATGTATTATATAGACTGGTGTTGTTTACGAAACAATCTAGCAAGTATTTTATAACGTTAGATTAATCGATATATTGGTAAATGCAATTACATTACATTTTAATATGACGTACACACAGTTATTAAGTTAATTAATTATATTACTGGATAAGAAATATAAATTTTTTATTGTATAAAACACAGATTTTGCCCAAATAAATAACTTAACACAAGTAGAGATAATTTCCGGCTTATATCTTTTACGCTTATTTCATAATTTCATTGTACTAATTGTAACATACATTTAAAAACTATTTGATTTTATATTCGTGTATTTCCATGCCATATTGATTATCTCTGTGCCAGTTACTTCCATTTTTAACGCGTTAATCTATTTTTTTATATAATAAGTTAGAAAGCTGCAAGTTTGCCATTCAGTTTAATCAACAGTGCAAGAATCAATACGGTTTAGTTGTTCGAAAGCGTAGGGTTCTTAAAAGTGAAGCAAGGACCGCTCACAGTAAGATTGATTCGAAATATAGTTTTTATATACGCTCCGTAAGCACTAAAATTTATTCCAATTAAAATGCTACCTCTACTTTAGGCCAGGCCAGAGTTCGAGCAAAGAGACTGAATGATCCGAAGCTGCTGAAGAAGGATGCATGCTGCACCAAGAGATAATGCCGTCGGTACTCGGAAACAAAGGTCACGAACGCAAAATCGGCAGCCCGAGATATATTTTATTGGTTTTTTCCGTGTATCCGTTGGGTTGATTAATCGCAGCGTTATTTACAAGGGCTTCGAGATTCATTTTCGCCACGGTAATTATGGACCATTTGAATGGGCCGCGCGCGAGAGGAGTTTTCCTTTTTGGAGGTGTGCGTGTGCGCTTCGGCGTAATCTCACCAATGATCACGTACGATATTAAAAATTTGCCAGCTCTCGGCTTTCAATCGAACGCCGGAGATCTCGGAGCACGGTCGTAGGAGGTCGGGGCTTACGTTACGTACTCGGCCAACGTACGTACGACCCCCGTGGCTCGCTGAAATATCGCGCGGACGCCGGTTCATTTCGATATTCTTGGCCCTGGGGCCCCGATGAGGAGAACTCCTCTCTCGGGATCGGGGCGGCGGAGGAGGGCGGGCAAGAGACCACTCGTTTTATTACATCGCATTGGGAAGGGGCGAGGCTGATGCGCAATTGTTTATGCCCGTGTCCCGCCCTATCGGACGCATCGGACACATTCGAACATACCCTACCACGTATACGCCGAGCGTGCTCGCGTGATGGTGGTGGTCGACGGACGTGGTGCGCGCGCGTGCTGTGTACCCGTATACCCTTCTCGTTCGCAACTCCGCCGCACTCCTCTCCGTGCTCCTCCTCTTTGTTTCTTCGTTCGGGCTAAGATTATTAATGGCCAGGCCGAGGTCCGATACCCCGAAGTGTCAGCCTCATGACAATGACGAAGCTCGCACCTCGAGTCCACCCTCCTTGTCTTCCTCCATCTGCTTCTCTCTTCGTCGAGGAATGAGTACTGTGCGTTATCGCGTGTGACTTCGATTGACGCCGTGGGTTATCGCAACGGAAACGGCATTACGACACGATTTGTAACGCGAGATCGCAATCTGCTTTTCATGCGCTGTAGTGATTCTTTTGCTATTTTGCGATTTATCTCACAGTTTTAATGATAACAGTCATCTTGGATAACAGTAAATATTTTTAAAAATGTTAATACGCATTAAAAAATGAATACTTCTCATAAAATAAAATTGTATGAAGTTATTAAATATTGTTAAAAATTATGTGCACGAAATTATTTAAAATAATTCGGGTACAACCAAATATAGGGAGAAAGATAAAATATGCGCGTCTTAAAAAAAATTATAGTTTAGGTTTAGGCAAACACCCATCAGGAGAGAGAATGCAAAAAAGGAACGGCGCGACGATCAGCTGGCAGATGTTCTCAAATGATATCTATATAAGCGAGTAGAGTATTTTGAATGACATCAATGGCAGCAGGTGCTAGCTATCAGATCGTCGGACAGCCTGATTTAAAGCGGATATATAGATCATGAGAACACAAAACTGCTTTATTTTCTTTTCAAACAAGCGAACTTAATCTCGCATCGAGCCACATTCCTAGGACCTCC